ATTATTTAATTTTCTGTTTGCTTTAATTCTAAAATCGCGTTTTATAGGAAATATCGAGGTTGATTGTCGTACAAGGCTGTGATAGTCAAAAAGCTAATAATTCAACTAATATATGGCAAAGCATGCTCTTTATTTTTTACTGTAGATTGTGTTTTTTTTTTGTGTTGTTAATATAATATTAAATTACTGTGTAAAATGATTTGCGCCAAAAGTGTCATGTATCTTACTTACAATTTTAAAAAAAATGAAATTGGAAAGTAAATTTTTCTTATCTTTTTCTTATCTTTTTTTATTTAATTTGTTGCATTATTAATTGCGATTTCTCTATAATCGAAAATGGTATGCCTTAGATAATTTTTACTGTAGTTAGTTAATCATTACTATTAACAAAATTTGTGAATACGATCTCTTTTAAAAACGGTCATTTGGGTAGACCAAAATAAGCTGAGATTAGATGATGTTTCATTCTTCCAATTTTTGCCTTCTAAAAGTTTATAGCTTTTGTTATCCATTATATCCGATTTATACTCCGATTTTTATTTTTTTATCAGGGTAAAATACAACATATATCAAAATATATACTTCACATAAAACAATAAATGAAATTCTATTTTAAAATATAAAAAATGCGAATTTGTTTTCTAAAATATATATTTAAATCTCACACAACTAAAATACACAAGTACACAATAAAAAAACACAATAAAAAAAAGATGAAAATCGCTTATTTGATTCGAATTTAACATAAAATTTAACATCAATATGTGTAAATAAATGTAAAAATGTCTATGGACGCATTTATAAGTCAAGATGATAAATTATTATGACTAATATTATAATTTAATAACTTATTTTTTATTTAGAGGAAAGGCTCCTATTATGAGATACCAAGTGCATTTTGAATAAATGCTAGAAGTCTATGGGCAGAATTTAAAAAAAATAATAGGTTGTTTTGAAGAGAATTTAATAAGCTATAAGATAACATTATATAATTTAATTCAATATATATAATTTAATTCAAATTCCATTTCTTTTTAATAAAGAAATGTAAAAAGTGAGCAAATCACAAAGTCAAAAAATTGTGCTTCTAATATGAGATGCCCCGAGAAATCGATAAAAGTAAAACGCAAAGTATATCAGTATATTGCAATTAAAAAACTTTATTCATGTTTCTAAAATGCAAACAAACATAGCCAGCGTGCGTAAAAAATGAGCATGATAGATTATACCCAGAACTCGTCTTCAGGTAGTTGGAATCAAGATCGTAGAAATAGGCACTCGACGTTCATTCCAGTTGTCCTTTTTATTATTGTACAATAATATTTACTCTTTAATAATGATTTTCACTATAACATAGAAGCATGGATTATATTAGAAATATCCTGGGTATCTCATATTACAATTTCCATGTCTATGATTTTACGATCATCAAATCTAACTTCTGTAATTAAACAATTCAACATATTCTGTATTTTTCTATTACGACTTTACTCTATTACTACATGAAGAATTTATTGCCAAATATTTATTTATTAAATAATAAACAGAATTTAAAGGCATCTCAATGAAACTTGAAGACATCCAAATTCTAAAATCTTTTTTTACAATGACTACAGGCATTTAATAATGAATTTTCTACTAAACAGATTTCAATCCAAGAGCAATAAGTTCATAGTGCAATAGATAGAAAAAAATAGAGCTTTAAGGTCCCTTTAAAGCTCTATTTTTTTCTCTTTAAAATACATTTTTAGAAATTTCTTTACTTTTTTTTTTACTGATACTTGAGTTTTTATAAAATGCGAGAAAATGATAAGTTTTTAAAGGCAATTACTCATATTGAAAATAGCACTTACACACAGACGATTTATGTCATTGACGCATCACTACATCAATGACTGTGTTCCAAAATTTACTGCCAGTAAATACTGAAAGTCTACAATTTATGTCATGTGTATTATAGATTTTCAATACTAGCAGTAAATTTTGGAACACAGTTCATATATTATCTCACTTATGCACATACATATAAATTTTCGTATAACAATTACGTTTTAATTAGACGTCTAAGTTCAATTTTAAGATCCATGTTTCTTCATGCAAACTACTAGTCTATGGATTATTATTTCGTAAGTACAAATTATACAGCTTTTATACAAATTTATACAAAGCAAATGTTGTCACGATGTGACAGCTTTAGAGCACCATATTGAACTAAGAAGTTATAAAGAAGATCCCAAATTTTTGTCGTTCTCAACATAAACTCCATTTCACAGACATATAATAATGCGTATTCTTTAATTCCAGAAAATTTTCGCATCAGCAAAAGAGAAAAAAGTAATTATTATAAAAAATTATATGATTTAGTCGGTATTACAGGCGACTTTAAGAGATCCTAAAAATTGGGAGATGCTACAGTAGACTTTATATTAAAATCTAAAAAAGTGAGAAACTTACTCATTTTTAATTCGATTTCCATTAAAAAAAAATTAATGTGAGTCTTAGCCACCCAAAATCAAACATCAATAAATAGATTTTTTAAACAATTTTCAAACATTTTTCTAAAAGATACATACTTACCAAGATATTTAACCGTTTAGGAACTTTTACGTTTTGCTGCATATTTCATTATTTATTCTAGATATATTCTGCTATACATGTAATTTACGTAATGCTTTTCTTTTATGCTAAAAGGAATAAAGCAGAAATTCAAGAGAAAACAAGAACAAAGTTTACCTCCTTGTCTGGAACATTATTGTCAAATCTATTCGAAAATTATCTCTTACAATTTTCTCAATACTTTAGTTGTAATTTGGGCATCTTTTATTTTCCTCTCCAAAAGTCATCCGAAATTCTTCCAAACTTTTTCTTCCAAAAAAATTTCCGAATTTGGTAAAAATTCTACTAAATTAGCAACACTAGATCCTAGGAATATCTGACTTTCTATGTGAAGCAAGGTCCATTTAATCTCTCCCCTCTTTTTTCGCCTAGGAGTATCCGTCTAGGAGGATCCGACCTTCTATGCGAGATTCACCCCCTATTCCTAGAGAGTCTCATAGGAAGGGAGTGGCAAATTGCATCACGTGATTCCTCTGATTGGACATGGGCAAAGCTCCACAGGCATAAAAGAGAAAATTGGTCACGTGACTTCCGTCCTGATTGGGCGTGACCATTCACATGATGCAATTTGTTACTCTCTCTTGTGTGCTCTCTATCCATCCCCTAATCCCCCCATTTATGAGATGGAAATCATAGATTACGGCCCACATTTGAAGCTATGAATACTTCGAAGCATTTTTTGATTGGTCAGTTAATAAAATTTTTTCTTCCGATTGGTCAAAAAAGTTTCGAAACATTTTTAGCACCAAGTGGACGTTTACATAGTTCGATTTACACTGAAATTATAATACATCGATGTAATGTTATGAAACTATAAAATCACAATTATTCCATTCTTCAAGAATAGCTATAATTGGTCTGTTTCATAACTTCAACGTAAATCAAGTCATATAAACATATAATCTAAATGGTAATCTAAATATATATCCTGTGTCCAAAAATTACGTTTCATTTATTAAAATTTTCATTAACAACATTTAATAAACAGGACGATTAAAACTTATTGGAAATCATTCAGAATCATGATTTAACATTTGTCAAGATCAAGGTCATTGGGAGAGAGTATCCCCTATTCGATATTATCAAAAATTATTATTAATGTCTCTTTGTTGAAAAAAAATTGATTTTATTGGCCAAAAAATCTATTATTAAAAATCTATTATTAAAAATATTTAATGTTTTTAAAAATATTTTTCAAATAAAAAGTCTCATTAAATAGTAACAACTTTTTTATTAAATTATTATACATGCTTTTAGATTCTATAAAGTTGGAGAAATATAATTATACTTTATTTTAAAAAAAAAGCACTTTATTTAAAAAAACTAGAATATTACTCTTCAAAAAAATTTTCTTAAGAATCATGGCCTAGAGAAGATAAAATGCTCATATGATTATTTTCGCGTCAAGGCAATAAATTTGCAAATACCGTTGGAACTTCGTATTTTTAATAGCTAGAGAAGCTTGACATGTTTTTGCGATAAGAACGTAATCGCCGTCAGTTACTATTATAATTTTCATTCAATATTTACACGCTACCTGGAATCTCCCCAAAATCAAAAACCTGTGATATCTTTGTACATAAAATATCCTGATTCTTTTTCAAGAAAACAAATTAAGTATTATTATAAAAGATAAATATTATAACACTTTATTGTTATACTATTATATAAATACTAAAAT